ACGCGCTTCCTCCGGCCATATAGTATAGATGACGTTGGGTTCCAGCTTCGCCTCCCGCATCTCGCTCAGCAGCGCAAGCGCCCGCTGCCACTGCTGGCCCTTCTCGCACGCGCTGATCCCAACGTTGTAGCTGATGACGTCGAGCTCCAGCTTCGCCTCCCGCATCTCGCTCAGCAGTGCCAGCGCTGGCTGCCACTGCCCGCCCTTCTCGCACGCGCTGATCCCAACGTTGTAGTTGACTAGGGCTGACCCGTGGACTCCGTCCACGACATCTTTCCGGAACGGTTTTCGGAGAAACGGCGCAGATTGCACCGAAAATCTACAAACACGGCGGCGGCTCGGGCGGCGGCAGCGAGACCGCGCCTTCGTGTCCGAGCTCTTGCAGCGCTCCAGCAGCTTGGCCCAGCGCACTTCTCGTTCACCCCCCTCCTTTTGAGGGCAGTTTCGAAGTCTCTCGGGGATGTGCGTTGAAGTCGAAGCCCATCTGAGGCGTCTCAGGAGCGCCCGGGGAAGGGCTCGGGAGGCCATCGGGGAAAGCCACCGAAAGCGCCGGGGAGGCTCGCAAGGATCTACAGGGAGGGCCCAAGAGAGCTTCAAGAAAATTTGAAAGTCTGTAGAATCTTTGGAGAAACCGCTGTTGGGTCGGCCATCACCTCCGGGCACGCCTTGATGGTGCGATCCAGTCGCATCACCGCCAACGGAGGGTCTGTTCGCCATGTCCCATTCTGTTCGCCCAGAGGGTCTGTGGAGGCCTTCGGGCGAATAGAACGGGACAGGGCAAGGAATGGGGAAGACTTGTCCGAATCTCCTGGGCCCCCCAAGTGCTCGTCCGAAGGGTGCGGAGAGGTCCCTGGGTAATATCAATTGGCTGCTGCCCCAGGGGTCTGGTCTGGTTGGCCTGAAGAGTTTGGCAAGGCCCCTGGGGGAACAGAATGGCACAGCATATCTGGCAAAGGGGGGCGGTAGCTGGCCTGTCAGACCCGGCGTTCGTCTTCTGTCCAAGCGGCGCGGGGCCCACGGGCCCCAGGGTTGCCGGCCCGCTGGGTTTCCTCTTGTTCGCCCACAGGGTTGGAGGAGGCCTCCAGGCGAACAGAATGGGGCAGGACAATGAATGTGGGAGACTTGTCGCAAGCTCCCAGCCCGCCCAAGTGTTCGCCCGAAAGGTGGGGCCGCGTTGGCTCCCTCAAAGGGCCGTCTTGGAGCCGTCTAGGCCCGTCTTGAGGGCGCCATTTGCCGTGATGGGGCCGTCTTGGTTCGTCGTGGGCCCCTCAAGGGCGCGTCCGTGGGCCGTCCTGGGCCCACCGGGGTCCTTGTTGGCACTATCGTGGGGCTGTCTTGGAGCCGTCTGGGACCGTGAGGGGGCCGCCTTGGAGTCGTCTTGGGCCCCTCCTGTGCGCCTCCTTGGGCCGTCCTGGGCCCAGCAGGGGCCGTCTTGGCACCCTCTTGGGGCTGTCTTGGGGCCGTCTGGGACCGCGAGGGGGCCGCCTTGGAGTCGTCCTGGGCCCCTCCTGTGCGCCTCCTGTGCCCCTCCTGTGCGCCTCCTGTGCGCCTCCTTGGGCCCCTCCAAGCGGCGCGGGGCCCACGGGCCCCAAGGTTGGCGGCCCGCTGGGTTTCCTCTTGTTCGCCCGTTTCGGGCCGTTTTGGGTGCGAGTTTGGCGGTTCTTCTGGGCGGTCCCCTCGTCCGCCCCCCTCGCTTCGAGGCAGTTTTGAAGCCCCGTGGGACCTCTTGGGGACCTCTTTTGGGCTCCTGGGGGCCTCTTGGGCTTCTCTGGGCCCGTCTATCGCGCCCCTTGGGCTGTCTTGGGGCCCCCGAGGGCCTTCTCGGGCGGTTCTCGGGCCGTCTTGGAGCCGTCTGAGGCCGCTCTTCGGGCCATCTTGGGGTCCCCTTGGCCTGTCTTGGGCGCCTCCGGGGCCGTCCTGTGGCCGCCTTGGACCGTCTTGGGGCCCTCTTGGACCGTCTTGGGGTCCTCTTGGGCACCTCTTCGACCGTCTTGGCAGGTCTTTGATGCCTCTGGGGTGGTGTCGGAGCGTCGGGAAGCCGAAAAAGCGAAGAAGCCAAAAAACCGCTGAAAAACGAATGAAAATCATCGATTTTGGCCTCTCGGGGCTCTCTTGGGAGGCCTCTTGGGAGGCCTATTGGGCCGTCTTGGGGAGCTCTTGGGCCGTCTTGGGCCAATCTTGGGCGTCTTGGCCGGATCATTGCGCGTCTCGGGGCCCTCTTGGGCCGCCTTCGGGGCATCTTGAGCGGCTCGGAGCCGTTTGTGGGCCGTCGGGGCGGCCTCCGGAGCGTCTCGGAACCGTCCTGGGGCCGCCGGGGCGCCCCGTCCTGGGGCCGCCGGGGCGCCGAGAGCCCCCAGGCTTTGCCCGACCCGTCCGGCACGCACGTGCTCCTGCATTGTAGTAGAGACTAGGGCTGACCCGTGGACTCCGTCCACGACATCTTTCTGGAATGGTTCTCGGAGGAACGGCGCAGATTGTACTGAAAATCTACAAACACGGCGGCGGCTCGGGCGGCGGCAGCGAGACCGCGCCTTCGTGTCCGAGCTCTTGCAGCGCTCCAGCAGCTTGGCCCCAGCGCACTGCTCGTTCACCCCCCTCCTATTGAGGGCAGTTTCGAAGTCTCTCGGGGATGTGCGTCGAAGTCGAAGCCCATCTGAGGAGTCTCAGGAGCGCCCGGGGAAGGGCTCGGGAGGCCATCGGGGAAAGCCACCGAAAGCGCCGGGGAGGCTCGCAAGGATCTACAGGGAGGGCCCAAGAGAGCTTCAAGAAAATTTGAAATCCAGTGAACTCTTAAGAGAAACCGCTGTTGGGTCGGCCATCACCTCCGGGCACGCCTTGATGGCGCGATCCAGTCGCATCGCCGCCAACGGGAGGGTTTGTTCGCCATGTCCCATTATGTTCGCCCAGAGGGTCTGTGGAGGCCTTCGGGCGAACAGAATGGGACAGGGCAAGGAATGGGGAAGACTTGTCCGAATCTCCTGGGCCCCCCAGGTGCTCGTCCGAAGAGTGCGGAGAGGTCCCTGGGTCATATCGATTGGCTGCTGTCCCAGGGGTCCGGTCTGGTTGGCCCGAAGAGTTTGCCAAGGCCCCTGGGGGAACAGAATGGCACAGCATATCGGGCAAAGGGGGGCGGTAGCTGGCCTGTCAGACCCGGCGTTCGTCTTCTGCCCAAGCGGCGCGGGGCCCACGGGCCCCAGGGTTGCTGGCCCGCTGGGTTTCCTCTTGTTCGCCCACAGGGTTGGGGGAGGCCTCCAGGGGAACAGAATGGGGCAGGACAATGAATGTGGGAGACTTGTCGCAAGCTCCCAGCCCCCCAAGTGTTCGCCCGAAGGGTGTGGGGCCGCGTTGGCTCCCTCAAAGGGCCGTCTTGGAGCCGTCTAGGCCCGTCTTGAGGGCGCCGTTTGCCGTGATGGGGCCGTTTGGTTCGTCGTGGGCCCCTCATGGGCCCTCATGGGCGCGTCCGTAGGCCGTCCTGGGCCCATCGGGGTCCTTGTTGGCACTATAGTGGGGCTGTCTTGGAGCCGCCTGGGACCGTGAGGGGGCCGCCTTGGAGTCGTCTTGGGCCCCTCCTGTGCGCCTCCTTGGGCCGTCCTGGGCCCAGCAGGGGCCGTCTTGGCACCCTCTTGGGGCTGTCTTGGGGCCGTCTTGAGCCGTCGCAGCGCGCCTTGGGTTGTACTGGGTCCGTCTTGGCCCGTCTTGGGGCCTTCCTGGGCGGTTCCTCGGACCCTCCGTCTTGAGCGCGCCTTGGGCCGTCCTGGGCCCGTCTGGGGCCGTGTTGGCACCCTCGCGGCGAGGAAGCTCGGAGGCGGGCTCGAGGCCTCTTCGGGGCCATTTTGGAAGCTGTTGCTCCTTGGGAGCCTCCTGGGGCCTCTTCGGGGGATTCTTGGCGGCCCCTTGGGGCCTCTTGGGGGCCTGTTTGGGCCTCCTGGCGCCCTCTTGGGGCGGAAGGCTCGGATTTTCGGTCCGTGGTCCTCCTCTTGGTCCCCTCTTGGGCCTGTCTTCGGGCCCTCGTGGGCCGTCTTGAGCGTCTCTCGGGTCGTCTTGGGGCCCTCTTGGGCTGTCTTGGGGCGCTCTTGGAGGCCACTTGGGCCGTTCTGGGGCGCTCTTGGAGGCCTCTTGGGCCGTCTTCGAGCGTCGGAAAGCGGAACAGGCGAGAAGGCCAAAATCCTTCCCAAACCGTCGTAAAGTGGATGATTTTGGCCGCTCGGGGCCCTCGGGGAATACGCTTGCAGGCCTGGGCTCCTTGAGCTGTCTTGGGGGCCTCTTGGGGCCTCTGGAGCCTCTGGAGCCGCCCGGGGCGTCTTTAAGCCCCGTGGGACCTCTTGGGGACCTCTTTTGGGCTCCTGGGGGCCTCTTGGGCCTCTCTGGGCCCGTCTGTCGCGCCCCTTGGGCGCTCTTGGGGCCCGGGCCTTCTTGGGCGGTCCTCGGGCCGTCTTGGAGCCGTCTTGGGCCGCTCTTCGGGCCATCTTGGAGTCCCGTTGGCCTGTCTTGGGCGCCTCTGGGGCCGTCCTGGGGCCGCCTTGGACCGTCTTGGGGCCCTCTGAGACCGTCTCGGGGTCCTCTTGGGGACCTCTTCGACCCTCTTGGAGCGGTCTTGGATGCCTCTGGGGGGGGTTCGGAGCGTCGGGAAGCCGAAAAAGCGAGGAAGCAAAAAACCTCGGGAAAAAACAAGTGAAAATCAACGATGTTGGCCTCTCGGGGCTCTCTTGGGAGGCCTCTTGGGAGGCCTATTGGGCCGTCTTGGGGAGCTCTTGGGCCGTCTTGGGCCAATCTTGGGCGTCTTGGCCGGATCATTGCGCGTCTCGGGGCCCTCTTGGGCCGCCTTCGGGGCATCTTGAGCGGCTCGGAGCCGGCTTTGGGCCGTCGGGGCCCGTTTCTAATCATTTGGGTGGATTTCCTTCCGGCACGCGGTTCCTCCGGCCATTTGGGTGGATTTCCTTCTGGCACGCGGTTCCTCCGGCCATATAGTATAGATGACGTCGGGCTCCAGCTTTGCCTCGCACATCTCGCTCAGCAGCGCCAGGGCCCGCTGCCACTGCTCGCTTTTCTCGCACGCGCTGATCCCAGCACTGTAGCTGATGACGTCGGGCTCCGGCTTTGCCTCCCGCATCTCGCTCAGCAGCGCCAGGGCCCGCTGCCACTGCTCGCCCTTCTCGCACGCACTGATCCCAGCGTTGTAGCTGATGACGTTGGGTTCCAGCTTCGCCTCCCGCATCGCGCTCAGCAGCGCCAGCGCCGGCTGCCACTGCTCGCCCCTCTCGCACGCGCTGATCCCAGCATGGTAGCTGACTAGGGCTGACCCGTGGACTCCGTCCACGTCCACCAGCGTGTTCAGTGTGGGCATGTTGCTGCCTGTCGCTTCGGATCGGTTGATGATAGTTGCTGGCTGCCGCTTGCGACGACTTTGCCTGCTTGCGCTTGTTTCACGATTGACTGCCGGCGCCTCGTGGGCTGCCTGGGAGCAGTTGGGGAGACGCAGGGAACAGTCTTGGGCCGCTCTTGGCTCGACTTGTCGAGAATCTGAAAATCAGTCGAAAACCGTTGACATAAGAACGATTTTGGCCACCTCGGGCCGCCTGGACGACCTCGTGGGCCGCCTTCGGGGCCGTCTTCGGAACCTCCTGGGCTGCCTGCGGGCCGTCCTGGGCCTGTGTCGGGGTCCTCGTGGGCCTTCTCGGGGCCCTTGGATCCGCCGCTGAGCCATCTGGGGCCTGTCCGCAAGCATCCTTGAGGCCCCGGGGTCCGCCTGGCATGATTCTGAGTTCTTGGAGTCGCGTGACCCTGCTCGCCATTCTGGCACGCACGGCCGCCTGCATTGTAGTATAGACCAGGGCTGGCCCGTCAACTCCGTCCACGTCAAGCAGCGTTTCCAGCGTGTGTGTTGCTGCTTGCGTCTGTAGGCTGCCAGGTAGGCGTTGTTTTATTCTAGATTTCGACATTTGGCCGAAGGGTGGGGGAGGGGGGGATTCTGGGTCTGGGCCGGTGCTTAGTCGATCTGCTTCTGCCAGTCGCGCATGCAGACTTTGGGGAGGGGTCCTGACAAGCCGCCAAAAGCAGCCGCCCAAAGCAGCCAAGATCTGGTCTATGGGGGGGAGCGGGGGGGCGGGGGCCCGCCCCTATCGGCGAAACAAGAAATAGAAAAACGGCGGCTTGCCGCGAGTGCTGCATGCTAACAGTTTGCCTGCTTGTACTGGCTTGTTGCGTGCTTGCCGATTGCTCGCTTGCCGACTTGCTGGCTTGCTGGCCTGCTTGCCGGCACGCTTGCTTGCCGCTCGCCTTCTGGCTGGCTGGCTGGCTGCTGCTTGCTGCTGCTGCTCGCTGTGCCTGCTTGCCGTGCCTGCTTGCTGTGCCTGCTTGGGCTCTCCTGGCCTGGACCTCGGCATCTTCCGAGGCTCCTTGGGGGCCACCTCGGGGCCAGGCTTCTGGGGAGCGCAGGGGGGGGGGCTGGCGGAGGGCGCGTCTCGGGCCGGCCTGGGGCGATCTTGGGCCGCCTGGGGGCGGCATTAGGGCCAAGACTGAAAGTCTCCTCCTCCTCCTCCTCCTCCTCCTCCTCCTCCTCCTCCTCCTCCTCCTCCTCCTCCTCCTCCTCCTCCCCTCCTCCTCTCCCACTCCGCCTCCTCTTCCTCCTCCTCCTCCTCCTCCTCCTCCTCCTCCGCCTCGCGCCTCCTCCTCCTCCTCCTCCTCCTCCTCCTCCTCCTGCTCCTCCTCCGCCTCCGCCTCCTCCTCCTCCTCCTCCTCCTCCTCCTCCTCCTCCTCCTCCTCCTCCTCCTCCTCCTCCTCCTCCACCTCCGACTCTTCCTCCTCCTCCTCCTCTCCTCCTCCTCCTCCTCCCTCCTCCTCTCCTCCTCCTCCTCCTCCTCCTCCTCCTCCTCCTCCTCCTCCTCCTCCTCCTCCTCCTCCAAGAGGCGCATGTGCGCCCCGTGCTCTGACGATGCCCCGTCGTGGATCTGGCCGTCCGAGGCCGTCGGAGGAGTCGCGCGGGCTGCGCCGTCCCGAGAGGAGGCAGAAGGCAGAAGGCACTGCGGGAGCGCGCCCCCGGTGGCCGAAAGGGTGGGGAGCGCGCTCTGGAGCGAGTTTGGCGGCCTCTCGGGCCGTCTGGGAGCGTCGGGAGCCCGACGAGGCGAGTATGCCTAAGTTCTTTTTTGTTTGTTTGTATACATCGTGGGCCTCTCGGGGCCCTCTTGGGAGACCTCTTGGAATCCTCCTGGGCCGTCCTGGGCTTCCTGGGCCGTCCGAAAGCGATAGCGGCAAACACTTGGACAATCTGGAGGCGTCTCGGGCCATCCTGGACGGTGTTGGGGCCCTCTTTAGAGGCCTCCTAGATGGGGTCGGAGCAGATGGGGTCGAAGCATCGCACCGTATCGCCAATACATCGCCGACGCATCGGCGATGCATCGGTAATGCATTGGCGACGCATCGGAGATGCCTCGGCGACGTCGGCGCGGAGGAAATCGGACCCCTCATCGAGCCGCATCGCCGATGCATCGGCGATGCGGCGCGATCCTCCGACCCCACCTACCCGGACCCCATCCGGGCGGCCCAGCAGAACCAATTAGGAGGCCTAGACGTTCAGAGGGGGGTCAACAAAGGGCAAGGTGGTCGAGGGCCGCAGGAGGGGGGCCCCACGGTCGGGAGCCCCTGCAGAGGCGTCTCGCCGCGCCGGCCCGGGCAGCACGCTTCATGCCACTGCGGGTGGGTGGCGTGTCGCTCCACTCCGCGGGGCCTAGACTTGTGGATGCCACGACAATGGACACTCTAACAATCCGATCATTGAACTAAAGCTGTGTTCAACATGCATAAAACATGTTGTAAATTATCCCAGTGCGACCTAGGAGTTGGAGCATTTAGAAAGCAACATCTACATCTACACCGACAGCTACATTTACATCTACACCTGCATCTACATCTACACCAACATCAACAGCGAGACTCACAACTACGTCTACATCTACACCTACATCTACACCTATATCTACATCTACATCTACATCTACATATACACCTACATCCACATCTACACCTACACCTACATATCAATGCGATGCTATGATATGGTATGATACTATGCTATGCTATATTAGACTATGATATGCTATGATATGATGTCATATTATGCTATCTGCAGACATCTAAATGCTATGATATGCTAGGCGATGCTATGATATGATATGCTGCGTTATGCTATGATATGATATGATATGCTATGCTATGCTGCGCTATGATATGCTATGTTATGGTGTGCTATTATGTGCTTTGGTATGCTATGCTGCGCTGTGCTATGATAAGCAATGCTATGATATGCTATGATATGGTATGCTTGGCTATGCTCGTTCATGCTATGATATGCTGAGCTATGCTATGTTATGTTTGGCTATGATTGGCTATGTTATGCTATGCTATGCAGTGCTAATGCTGCGCTGCGTTATGCTGCGCTGCGCTAAGCTAAGCAAAGGTAAGCTAAGCTATGCTAAGTTGAGCTAAGTTAAGCTAAGATAGGCTAGGCTAGGCTAAGCTAGCCAGGCTAAGCTAAGCTAAGCTGAGCTAAGCTATGCTAAGTTGAGCTAAGCTAAGCTAAGCTAAGCTAAGCTAGGCTAGTCAAAGCTAAGCTAAGCTAAGCTAAAATGAGCTAAGCTAAGCTAAGCTAAGCTAAGCTGGGTGAACCCAGGGGGCGCAACTGGGGGAACCGCGGGGCGGATGCCGGGGAACCGCCCGGGGCGAGGAACACTGCCCGGCCCTTTAAACTTATAAAGTAAGAACCCTCCTAGGCAGAGCCTAGGTAGGGAACATGTCTCACACATGTGCTTCACATGTCTAAAAACATGCTTGAGGCATGGTTCAGATATCTGGAAATGATTTGGCAGCATGCTTCCTCTCCATGACTCGACTTCCACAAGCCTAGACTCTTGGGCCGTCTTTCAGGAGCGGCCACGAGGGGGGTGTCCAAGAGGGGGAGAGGGGGTGCAAATCCTGGCCGGCGGCATGTGCGCGGCCCAGCGGGGGGGCCGGGGACGTCATGACATAAGAAGAGGCGCCATGAGATCTTGGGAGATGTCATGGCCCCCGCCATGATATCCACCCCCCCCTAGTCATCACCCCCCTCTTTGCCGCCCCCGACGTCCTGGAGCGCCCCCTCGGCCTGGCGGGGCCCGGGGAGCCTCCGCGCGGGCACGGGCAGTGGCCCTGCCAGGCACGCCGCGGGCGCAGGGCTGCCAGGCAGCAGAGAGGCGTGCGGGCCCGTGGCCTTCTCGCGCGGGGGGGGGGCTCGAGAAGCGGCCTTTATGAGGCCTCTCGAAGGCACCTCGGGGCCATCGTGGAACCTGCTGGGCGTCTTCGGAGTGTCGTGTAGGGGAACAAAAAGTGACATAAACATAAAAACTCGGAGGTCCGCGCGGACTTCTCGGATCGGCACCGGGGCTCCCCGGCGGCGCCTCCGGCGCCGCCCCTGGCGCGCTCCGCGCGCCAGGGAGGGGGGTCCAGCGCCGGTCCGAGAAATCCGCGCGGAGCTCCGAGTTTTTATGTTTATGTCACTTTTTGTTCCCCTATTCTGGGCGTCTTCGGAGTGTCGTGGGCTCACCCAGGTCCCTCGTGCTTAGAGCGTCCTGGGCTGACGTCGGGGGCCCTGGAGCTGGCCCACGGCGTCGATGTTCGGCGCGCGGTTCGCCCAAGATGGTAGCACGGATGGCCTTGGCCTCCGGCATCGCATCCCGCACCTCGCTGAGCAACTGTCGCCATTGGGCTCCAGCTTCACAATCAAAAGATCGCTGATCATCGGCAGGACCCGCTTTCACTGGACGCCTCTATCAGAAGTGCTGATCTCAATGCTGTAGCCAACCAGGGCGGATCCACGTCATGGTATCCGAAGCGGCTTCCTGCGCGACGGAACACTGCTGCCAAATTCAAAATACGGATGTTCGCCCACGTGATCACAATGGTTCCCCAGCAGGTTCCCACACGGACAGTGCCCCGCAAGACACTCGAAAACGGGAAAGGCCGATACAACGATAGCAGGACAAGCCTGCCAAGTTGCGAGACGACCTCTCATACGCCGTGATGCATAAATTGTAACTGATATCGTTCGTCTCCACATGGCGTTCCCGCATCACTCTGAGCAGCGAAAATGCATGCCGCCACTGGCTGCATCTCTCACTCGCGCAGATCGCAGCGTTGTAGCTGACTACGGGGGATCCGTGGACTTACGTCCACGACAGCTGACTCGCACGCAGGGGTGAAAATCGCTGGCCTGCTGTTATGCTTGCGCGCTGCCCTGCGCGCATGGCTGCTAGCCTGCTGGCCAAGCAACTTCCTGCCATGCGTTCCTGTTTCCATGCTGGCCAGCGTGCCTAACACCATTCCTGGCGGCGTGCCTGCGAACGTGCTTGGGTTGCGTCGTCGCTTGCTCGCCTGCTCGCTGGCAGCCGAGATCAAAGGGTAATGTTGGCCACCGCCGCGGAAGGGCAGTGCGCGGGCGGGGCAGCCACGAGGCCCGAATACTTCAGGCCGCCGCTTCGGCGCGTGGTCGGCGGGGGGGGCGTCGGGTGCGGGGTGCGGGAAGCTTGAGGGTGGGCATGCCGAGCATGCTGAGCACGCGGGTGCGAGCATGCTGGGCATGTGGTGCGGTCACGGTTGGTGCGTGTGTGTGTGTGCGCTCGGCTCTCGGCAGAGTAAAGCGGAGGTGTGGGTGCGCTGGCTTGCGGTGCAACGTGGCTTGTGCAGCTGGCGATTCCGTGCGTCGGTCTCGCGTGCGTGTTGAGCGCTGCCGCGGGGCTGCTTGGCTGTAGGGTTCGGTGCTGCGTGGCGGGCGCGAGGTGCGTGGTTTCCCGTTTTGTTCCGACGCCGAGGAGAAAGGTAGAGAAAGAGAGAGAGAGAGAGAGGCGAGGAGGGATGGAGGGATGAGGGAGAGCCAGTCACGAGGGGGCGGCAGACGCCAGTAGCCAAGAGGGAGAAGCGAGGGGCCATGGGAGCGGTGAGCGGAGCGAGGAGGAGTGAGAAGAAAGGAGCCAGGAGCGAGGAGAGAGAGTCGAGGAGCGCGGGGAGAGAGCGGCAGAGGGCGAAAAGCGAGGAGCAGGGAACGAGAAGGGAAGCATGAGAAGAGGCCAGCACACAAACGTCTCAATGGCCTCGGTGCGCGTGCGGTCGAACATCTGGTCTCCTCTTGGGTCGCTCTCTGGGCTCTCTTGGGTGCCTGGCGTGGATGCAGAGCTCTCTAAGAGGTCTTCCCTCGGACGCCTCTTGGAGGCGGCTTGGGGGGTGTCTTGGGGCTTCTCGGGGGCCTCTTGGGGGCGTCTGCAGTCTGCGTCGGGCCTCTTTAAAGCCCCTTTGGGGCCTCTTGGGGGTCTCCCGCGGCTTCTGGAGCGTGGAACGCCTCTCGGGGGCCGCTCGAGGGCACGCTGGCGGTATGCCGGCGGTCTCGGGGGTCAGCTGGGGGTGGAGGGCGCGAAATGTCAGGCCGAGCTCCCCCTCCTGGGGCCGTCATGAGACGTCTTGGGGGCCTGCTGGGCCGTCTTGAAGCAATATTTGGGGCCTCTTGGGCCGTCTTGGAGTGTCCGAAGCGAGGACGCCGAAGTCCTTCAAGAACAATAAAGCAATCCCACCAGCCCTCTGGGCGTCGGTGGTTTAAGGCGTTTCCTCTTCCACCCCTCCTTCCCTTTCGGGGAAGGGTTTATCACTATTCCCTATTCATATACACCCCCTCCCCCAGGCGACAGGGAGCCAACCCGAGTCAATGAGGGCACCCCCCCACCATCCCTTGGCAAAAAACAATACAAAGCACACTCTGACTGCAAATTCGGAGCATGCGCAGCGAACCCGATGCGGCCTCCCCCCACCATCCCTATCAAAAACCAATACAGAGTACATTTGGCGGCGGCGGCGGCGGCGGCGGCTGCAGCGGGGGCAGCGGCTGCGGCGGCTGCGGCGGTGGCGGCGGCGGTGGCGGCGGCGGCGGTGGCGGCGGCGGCGGCGGCAGCGGTTGCAGCGGCAGCGGCTGCAGCGGCAGCGGCTGCAGCGCGGCTGCAATTCGGCTGCGGCGGCGGCGGCAATTCGGCAGCGGGGGCGGCCGCGGCGGCGGCGGCGGCGGGCGGCGCGGTGGCAGAGCGGCGGCGGACAGCGGCGGCGGCGGCGGCGGCGCGGCGGCGGCGGCGGCGGGCGGCAGCTGCGGCGGTGGAGGCGGCGGCGGCGGCGGACTGGCCCCCAGCAGCTGCCCATCCAAAGACGACTGCTGCAGATGCTGCGGCTCGGGCCAGGCTCGGGTGCTACGTATGTGTTGGGAGGGCGGGTGGGAGTGAGCGGGACGGCTTGCGGGCGGGGAGGGCGTCTTGACCCCTCCCCCTACCCCCTCCCCATGGAGCTGGACAAGGGGTTGCGCGAGTCGTCGGAGCGTCTAAGACGGCCTCGGCGAGGAAGCCAAAATCATTTGTTTTACAAAAGTTTTGGCCCCATTTTGGCCTCCTGAGGGGGGGGCCTAATTAGGGACCCCCCCTCCTGTAATCGATCTCGCCCAAGATGGCCCACATATGGCCCCCAAGGGTGCCCCAAGAGGGCCCCTAGAGGTGGCCAGGAAGCCCCAAGAGGCCCCCAGGATGCCCCCAAGAGGCTCCCAAGAGACCTCCCAGAGGCCCCAAGAGACCCCCCAGAGGCACCCAAGATGCTCCAAGAGGCCTCGGCGAGAATGCCAAATCACTGATCCCACTAAGGTTTTAGCCACATGTTGGCCTCTTGGGGGGCACTGATTAAGATGACTCCAAGAGCGCCTGGGAGAGCCCAAGATGACCTCCAAGATGGCTCAGGATATCCCAAGATGTCTCATAATGGTTCCCACGATGCTCCAAGATGCCCCAAAGCTCCCCCCGGAGGCCCCGAAGAGGCCAAAACCTCAGGAAAGTCTATGTGTTTGGTTTTCTCGCCTTTTCGCTTCCGATGGCCATCCGAAGCCTCAAGATGGCTCCAAGACGGCCCAAGAAGGCTCCAAGAGAGGCTCAAGAGAGCCCCAAGACGGCCCCAAGAGCGCCTAAGAGCGCTCCAAGAGCGCCCCAAAAGCACCCCAAGAGGCGATTGCTTGGGTTCCCGAAGGGGAACGCTAACTAATGTTCGCTGCTTGTTTGATCGATGTCCTCCAAGATGGCCCCAAGAGCGCTCCCAAGGCTCCCAAGAGCGCTTCAAGAGGGCCCCATGAGGCGCCCAGGAGGCCCCAACAGGCGCCCAAGAGGCCTCCAAGATGCTCCCAAGAGACGCTCTCCGAGGCACCCAAGACGCTCCAAGAGGCCTCCACTGGGGAACCCTTCCTCTGTGTGCTGCCCACTTCCCTGATCGAGGCAATTCCTCTGGGCATCGTTTCTGGATGGGCTGGTGGGGTTACTTTTTACCTAACAGCGAAGACTGATAGGTTTCTAGTGGTCTCAAAAGAGCTCACAGATCACTCCACAGGGGGGTCCGGGCAGGTGTTGGGGAGTTGCCGGGCGGCAGGGTGCCGGGCTCGTTTTTCACCAACAGTCACACACTTCGTGCTCTTCGACTTCCCAGAACTCCATTCCCAGGCCACATTCTGAATACCCGGATGCAACAGTCACACACTTCGTGTTCTTCGAGATCCCAGAACGCCATTCCCGGGCCACATTTAGAATAACCAGATGCAACAGTCACACACTTCGTGCTCTTCGACATCCCAGAACGCCATTCCCGGGCCACATTCTGGAGGGCCGGATGCAACAGTCACACACTTCGTGCTCTTCGAGTTCCCAGAATTCCATTCCCGGGCCACATTTTGGATGCCCGGAGCCAACTGTAGGCCACTTCCTGGTCTTCGAGTTCCCAGAACTACATTCCCGGGCCACATTTTGAATAGCCAGACGCTTCGTAGTCCTTCCGCCACAGCCGTGTTTGGTTCAGGAATTGCTAGTGACACTGCAGTCCACTGCATTCAATCGTGCCACTGCATTCACTCACTGCAGTCCACTCAGTTTCGATTGCAATGGCGTTCCCCTGGCCGTACCCCCATACCCAACGTTCATCCGCAGCCTCTGCTCCGCGAGGCTCGTCCGAAGTGTCGCCGCCTCGCGGTGCTTCTCAGCCTGCGCCGCCTCGCGGTGCTTCTCAGCCTGCGGAGGAAGGTGGACAGACGCCTGGCTCTGGCGCTGTGCAGCCTGCGTCTTTCACGGTCGCCTCGTTCAATTTCGGGTTCGAGCAGGGCATGATGACTGGTAAGCAGGCGGCCACTCACTGCGCTAACTTCGGAAGGGTGTGCGCCACGATAGTGGAGACCGCTGATGCTGATATTGTCTGTGGCTGCGAGGTCGGTGCGTTCCGTGAAGGCTTTCGCCGAGCAGGGATCAACGTGACAGAGATCCTCAGTAAGCCTTTCGGTGATGGCATTCGCTTCTCGGAGGTCGACAACTACTTGACTCTCTGGGGGTTCCGCGGTGCTTCTCAGCCTGCGGAACTGACTCTGTGCGAAGACAGCAAAGTTTACAGGCCTCCTAGCGGCCGAGAGATTGATGCTGTTATTTCACATTTTGAGGTGAACAAACCAGGCCATGACAAGTTCCACGTGGTGATCGCCAACATGCACATCGTGTGCGGCAAGAAACCGCCGACCATCCAGACTCGAAAGCGGACAGTTCGCAATCTCCGCTTGCACCTGGACTGCCTGGGAAAGATTCTTGAGAATCTGAGCCAGGCAGTCGTTCTGCTTGTAGTCGGCGACGACAACCTCACTTTCCAGGAGGCGCGGGAGGCTTACCAGCGCCAGCAGAACGACGAGAAGCTCTGGGAGGTCCATGCCACTCCGGCCGACCTCAAAGGCGACCACGTCGCGGTCTGCGGAGCAGTCGCCCGTTTCTGCTCCATTGCCGTTGGCGCGTCTTTTACGGATCGTGGCATGCGCAACGACGCACACGATGCGGTGGCGGTTGTGCTCACTCTCCCTGGTGCTATTCAGCCTGGGGAGAGCAAGAGGCGGAAGATTGTCGTCGAAAACGTCTCCGACGCCGACGTCAGCGTACAGGCGGACGCCGAGTCTTCTGTGCATTGGGATCGGTCGCCGAGTTCTACTCCTCCGCTTTCACCGACTTCACCGGGTGATCCCGACTACGTCGAGGATGTCGTTCAGAATCGCGCGGACGACTTGCACAGGGAGCTGAGGCAGCTTTGGGACGACAGGTACGACGAGGAGTACG